CAGAAAACAGTATCTTCAGATCAGAATCAGAGCATGGCTTAGTTAACCTGAACCTGGGACAGGTGTCTCAGAAGGTCTCAGCCAATGTGATAGCCAGGCCAGGCACCAGTGGCTCACACCTGTAATTAGTTACCTAGAGGCTGAGATTTGAGGATTGTGGTTCACAGCCAACCCAGGCAGAAAAGTCCCTGAGATTCTCATCTCCAGTTAACCCCAGAAAGCTGGAAGTAGAGCTGGCTCAAAGTGCTAGAGCACTAGCCTTGAGCAAAAGAGCTCAGGGACAATGCGCAGGCCTTGAGTTCAAGTCCCATGACTGACAAAAACAAACAAACAGAAAAACAGTGATGTCTAGGGCTGCAGTAATCTTAAGACTTGACTGGGGGAAATTGCCCTTCCACATTTGTGCATAAAACAATAGGTAAGCTTCAGCTCCTTACTGCCTTTTGGCCAGAGACAGCAGTTTCTTACCACATTAGACTCCCTTTAAGTCTGCTTACAACATAGAGCATCCCTTCCTCATAGTGAAGAAAGAGAGAGAGAGAGAGAGAGAGAGAGAGAAATAGACAGGCAGACAGACAGATAAGAGAGAGAGATTGGCCATACTATGCATACTGGTTTCAGAAATGATGTCCTGGCCAGAAGTATGGCTCAGGTGATCGAGCACCAACCTAGAAGTGATAAACCACTTCTGACATATTCTACTCATTAGAGATGGGCCAATAAGAGCCGGGCACTGGTGGCTCACACCTGTAATCCTAACTACTTAGAAGGCTGAGATCTGAGTGATTGTGGTTCAAAGCCAGCCTGGGCAGGAAAAGTCCGTGAGACTCTTATCTCCAATAAACCACTCAGAAAACCGAAAGTGGCGCTGTGGCTCAAGAGGTAGAGCAGTTGCCTTGAGCTGAAGAACTGAGGGACAGTGACCAGGCCCAGAGTTCAAGGCCCACAACTAGCAAAAAAAGAAATGGGCCAATAAGTGCCCTTGCTCCAAAAGAAGAGTGTACATGCCAGGAGGCAAAGCTGTGGGGGGACAGTGTCAGAGATGTCTCTTGAATAGACACTGCTAGCTCATCGTCACTGGAGCGTTTTATAGAAGAGGCCTGAGCAGCTTGGGTTGGATGTGATCCCCTAGGACACACTTTCCGGTTGCTTCTGTTAGAATATTCCTGGTCTGGGACTTGCAGTTGCTTCTGTTAGAATATTCCTGGTCTGGGACTGCTTTATGTTAATTTTTAATCTTGGGCCATTTGAGCCCATGCAAATACACAGTTCTACGTCTGTGGGAGGACTGGCTGTGGGCACAGACTGAGATTTGCCTCCTTTCCTGTACCTCCCCCTTGTCATTGGCCTGTAGTGATGAGTGCTTTTTATTCTAGTCTATAGTTTCATCAAAGGTTTACGGAGATTCCCATTTCTGCTTCTCACTTGGGCTTAATATGGGCCCAGAGCCTCACTCCTGCAGCCCAGTATGTGTTAAAAGCGGGGTCTTTTGGTTACTGAGTCCAGCAGCCCCTGCTCCCTGCTCCTACCTCCCGCCTCCATGGGGCTGTTTGCAGAATTGGTGCATTCAGTTCATATTCTGATTTTCCAGTCTCTTCTTTGCTTTTGTCCCCTAGGGACTTATCTGGCTTTCTTGTGAGCTCAGCTATGCATATAAAATGATGTTGGTTATGTTTTATCTCCAGTCAAGGAGTGGTTTGAAATGGGAAGGAGGCATTTCCAAAGGTTAGCTAAGCTAAATAATATCCATAAAGTGGACCGGATGTTGCCTGGCCCCCCATCTGGACCCATCAGCCCTAGCAGGGACAATTTTCCAGTTAGATTCGGACAAAGTATTTTTCTCTTAATCTCCCGTGTGCTTGGAAATGGCTACTGATTCCGGGCCTGCTTTGGAGGCAGGCTGAGGATTTCTCATTTCCCAAGAGGAATCTGTTGACCTTGGCTTTCTTGTGTGTGGGGGCTGGGGAATGGAGGAGAAAGCGGTGAGGAGGCTAATGGGAATGTTCTCAGTCAGATGTTACCATCTGATGATCAGATAGAGAGCAGATCAACTTCAGTGCAGTGCTCTGAGAGTCTGGAGGAGTCTCTGTTTCTCTTGAGACCTGCTCCCTGGTTGGAACCTCAGAATCTCTTCTCAGCTGGAAGGTGTAAGGCACCATGGAATTGTTTACTCTCCTGTCTGGTTCAGTGTATAGCTTATGGGTGGGATTTCAAGAGCTTTCAAACTCTGGAAACAAAGAGGCCTCTTGTTCTGAGTGGTATTGTCACAGTGATTTAAGAACCTCTAGATACTGATAATAGTAGCTAAAATTTACTGAACATCTATTATATCCTCATAAAACCATGCCTAGTAATTTACATAAAGAAGAGTTCACTGAAAGTAACTGTGATGTGACGTTCCTTTGGTCTCTGGTATCCAGACTCTTCTAACCAAGAATGTACTTGTCTAGCTTGTTAGTTCAGCTCCCCTGGGCTCCAGGAGGGACTGTCTGGGATGAGTTGGTTCTAGCTGGGGAACCCTTTGAACCCAGCCCCCAAGTAACAGGAGATGATTCAGCTTCTGTGTTTGAGGAAGTACCTTGGCAACTGCTGTCCTTGGTTCCCCTGAAGTCCAGAGAGGAGGACTGAGAGGCCGATTATAGGAGTCACTGAGAGTCACACCTGCTATAAGCGTGGCTTGTGCCAGTCAGACAGAAGGACACTTAACTTCCGCTGGATCTGGGATTGATTTTTTTCCATAGCCTGTTATTTCTGTGCATTTATAATGAGGTTCCTTTAGAAAGAGCTGCATGAAGAAGACTAGTCCTTTTCCACCATTGGACCTACATTACAACCACCTAGCTTCTATGCCTTGCACATTTGGCTCTGAGCATCCACACAGCCAAAGCAGAGAGCAGCATCTAGTTAAAGGGTCTGGGTTAATGGAGGTTTAACAAGCTTCCCTTGGAGGTTGTGGTGCTCAGTCAGCCTTGCAGGGGAGACAAGAAGTAAGGCATTCATTTTAAGCTCTACCACAGGGCATCCTGGGCAACTCATTTGCCCTATCTGAGTCTCAGTTTGCCCAGTAGTAGGATGGGATGGAAATTCCTGCTCTACTTGAAGCACTATCCAATGAAATTGTGTTAAGCTAAGGAGGCTGGATTATGGAAGTGCTGAGGTGAGTTTTACATGTGGATTAAGCCATTCCTTAGTCTTTGTTGATTGTACATAAACATGATGGCACAAATCTTTCTGGAGAGATGTCAGGATGCAGCCATCAGATACCTACTGTTACATTGCCTTGGGCCTCTACATAATCATTCACAGAGGGCCACCTCTGACTTGTGACAGGAATAGTTGTGATCCTCTTGAGCACCTGGCCTGTGCATGCCAGCTAGGTCCTCAGGCCTCCAGCTTGCCACCAAGGGCTTTGTTTGCACCAAATGCCTCCAGGTCTCCTTGAGTCCCCCTAGATAGTGCCACCATTACTCCAGTTTGACAGGTGAGCCCCTGAGGCCCCCCATGCTTTCACTTCCCAGGTCACACTGCTAGGAGGCAGCAGAGCCAGCATTTGAATCCAGGTGAGTCTTACTCTACAGCCTGTGCAGGCAACATTTCTTCTGTGCTGTGGCTGGATGGAAGCTCAGGGTAAAGTCTATACCCACGCAGAGCAATGCTCAGACTCTTTGTTTTTGTGTTGGGGTACAGAGCTTACCTCTGGTTCCACCTATTTCTCCATATATTTTATCATGTCCTTTCTTATTTATTTGTTTGTTTGTTTATATTTGTGGTAGTATTGGGGCTTTAACTCTGGGCTAGGATATTCTCCCTTAGTTTTTGTTTTGTTTTGTTTTGCCTAAGGCTGGCTCTCTACCACTTGAGCCACACCTCTACTTTTTTATTTTGTTTTTATGTCAGTCTTGGGGCTTGAACTTAGGGCCTGGACACTGTCCCTAAACGTTTGTGCTCAAGATTAACTCATTACCATTTGAGCTATTTCTGGATCTTCTTTGGTAGTTAATTGAAGGTAAGAGTTTCATAGACTTTCCTCCTTGGCCTCACTTTGAACTGCAATCCTCAGATCTTCTGCCGAGTACCTAGGATTATAGGTGTGAGCTATTGGTGCCTGGCTCCACTTCTGTGTTTTGCTGGTTAATTGGAGATAAAGAGTCTCAGTGGTTTTTCTGCCTGGGCTGGCTTTGAACCTTCATTGTTATATCTCAACCTCCTGAGTAGCTAGGATTATAGGTGTGAGCCACCAGTGGCTGGCTTCCTCTTATTTTTTTTTTCTTTTCACTGCCACCTCCTTGGTCTTAGTGTGCTAAATTCTGGCATGGTTCCATGAGCAAAATTTTCATTTTCTTTCTTCTTCTTTCATCATTGATTCTTTACCACAAAATATCATAGACCACCCAGGGATGGCTAAGTTTTTCCCAGTGAACAAGAACACGAGAAAGCAAGGCCTAGCTGGCCAAGCCAGATTCCTAATTCATGGGGCTCAGGAGAAGCCAGAGGTGGAGAAAGGCTGGGGAGATTGGAAAGTTGATTGTTCCGTCACTTACCTGTCAATTTTTGGACCACAGATTATTTTGAATCAAGTTTGTAATGGCAGTGGCTTATACATATTAAAAGGTGTCATCCCTGCAGTCCCCTCCTTGATACGTGGCAGGAGGGTGGAGGTCCTTTCTTTCAGGATTGAGAGAAAGGTACAGTGCTAGAGTAGGCGAAGTAGAAAATGTGGTGGTTTGGAGCCTAGAGTACTACTGGAAGAGATTGGATGTGGAGGGTAGGGGTATTTAGAAGAAAAGTGACTCCAAGGAAGTTTGCCGGAGCAGCACAGGGCAGTATGTGCTCCCTTCTTTCTTTTGTAGAGACTGAGGGGTTCTTACAGCCCCAAAGCAGAAGACCCAGATTGTGGCCAGGCCTCTGCAGACTTAGATGCAGCCCCAGGTGAAGCCCCTGGGTGACCCCACCCTACTCCAGCACCTCAGTAACAGAGCTTTCCCCATCACCTCCCCCAGCTCAGTGACGAGTTGAACCAGCAGCTGGAGGCCGTGTGTGGGTCTGTGTTTGGGGAGCTTGAGTCCCAGGCTGTGGACGCCCTGGACCTGCCTGGCTGTTTCCGCATGCGGAGCCACAGCTACCTCCGGGCCATCCAGGCTGGATGCTCTCAAGATGACGACTGCCTACCCCTCCTAGCTGCCCCTGCCTCTGTCTCAGGGAGGCCCGGCTCCTGTGAGTACCTGAGCTGAGCCAACGCCCTGAGTGCTCTGTGCTGGCCAGAGTGCCACAGCTATGCTGTGTGACCTTGGACAGATCACTTCCCTCTCTGGGCAGTGTGGGGAAGACAGGTGGCTCTAGGCCCTAAGGGCCAGCTGGGTGTGTTGCCCTCCCCCCCCCCCGCACACCCCACTCACTGCATCCCCACCATCCACAGCCTTCAACTTCAGAAAGGCCCCGCCCCCCATCCCACCGGGGAGCCAGGCCCCGCCCCGCATCTCCATCACCGCACAGAGCAGCACCGACTCCGCCCACGAGAGCTTCACAGCCACCACCGAGGGCCCGGCCCGGCGCTGCAGCTCGGCTGACGGGCTGGACGGCCCCGCCATGGGCGCTCGCACCCTGGAGCTGGCGCCGGTGCCACCCCGGGCGAGCCCCAAGCCCCCCACACTCATCATCAAGACCATCCCCGGCAGGGAGGAGCTGCGGAGCCTGGCAAGACAGCGGAAGTGGCGGCCGTCCATTGGGGTGCAGGTATGAAAAACCGGGAGGCGCAGGCCAAGGCCCAGGCCCTGGCAGGTGTGGAATGAAGGGGTGGGGAGACAGCTGGGGGGCTTCTGGATGCAGAGACTTTTTCCCGACTTGCCCCAGCTGCAATCAGACCCCATGCCGGGCAGCACCCACAGGGCTGCTCCAAACAGACCCCGGCCCACTCCCTCATCCGGGGTGCCAGCAAACCCCAGCGAGTACAGAGAGGTCCCCCTTGGCTACCACCTTGGTGCTCTGCGCTCTCTTCTGGTTCTGGAAGTTTATCTCCACAGGATTGGCCAGCTGGCATGGGGGCAGAGCCTCTGTGTCCCTGACCCCGCCCCTATCATTGACTCCACCCTATGGTTGTGGGCGGCAGGAGGAGCTTATACTCTGGCCCCGCCCCTGCTACTGACTCCGCCCTGTGGTTGTGGTCAGTAGGCGGAGCTTATACCTTGGCCCCGCCTCTGTCGCTGATTCCACTGTTTTCAGGTGGAGACCATCTCGGACTCCGACACTGAGAACCGAAGCCGAAGAGAGTTCCACTCCATCGGAGTACAGGTGGAAGAGGACAAGAGGTGGGTCACAACGGAGGCGCCTCTCAGGCTTGGTTGTGGGGCGAAGGCTTCTTGCGCAGCAGTGTCCTCGCTGCCCGCACACTCATCCTGGAAGGTGACATCACACCTTCTCCTCGGAATGGAGTCACAGCAGACACAGGTGGTCCTCAGAGGTAGTCATCAAGTCCACAGTGAGTTCTTAGACTCATGCCTGGGTAGGGTCCTCAGAGGCAGAGAAGACTTATACAGTGGTTTGGGGATAGGGTGGGGAAGGAGAAGCAGAGAGAGGTAATAGGTAGATGCTGAGCAGGTCTCCAACAATTGTCCTTTGTGGGGAGGGGGAGGGGAGGGGAGGTAAAGGGATTCTGCCAGTCCCTCATTACACCCTGCGGTGTACAAGTATGTGAGCTCAGAAAGAAACAAACAAACAGGAAGATTGCCTCTCACCAGCCCCTGGCAGATGTAACACTCCTCCTCACTTGGCTCGCACAAGCATTTAACCAGTCGGGGGTACCTATTATATGCCTGAGTTGGTGGTGTATCAGAGATAGTAGAATTACCAGCAGCCACTAGTCTGGCATTAGGTGGCCTCAGAAACATTGCTTCCTTAATTTCCAGCTGAAGAATTAGCATTGTAAGCTCTAGAGGGAATACTGAAAAGAGTCCTCTCGGCTGGTGGGGTGCCTGTGGGGAGACACTTTTTCTAATAACCAGGTGGCAGTGCCTCAGTGGCCCATGGGCCCTCTGAGCTGCAATGGTACCAGGCCAGTGGCTCTGAATCGTGTCTGGGAACCTTCCTGGGGCTGGTTTTGAGCACTGTCCAGGTCACACTCACCTTCAGGAATCACATCAGTGCCTGGGAAGCCAGCGCAGTTCTGTTTCCAGTTGCCACTTTTAGGCCTTCCATCTTTCCCCAAGGAACCCCAACTATAATCCAGGAACCTCTGGTGTTGCCTTCTGTGTGTGCATGCCTGTCTTGAGGTTCCTGTAGAATCACCATTCCCCTCCACTCCTGCTCTAGCTCTGTGAAGTTCCATCTGCTCCCAAGGTAGTAAATAACTCCACCAAGGCTGGCCCAATGCTGTTCTTGTTGCAGACCTTAAAGTCTCTGTCCTCCAAATTCTTAATATGCCACGAAGATAACAGGAAAGTGGCACTTAATGGAAAACTCAATTTGTAAATCCATGATTGAGGCAGGGCCCAGGGGTCATGGACGGATGCAGCTTCTTCCCTGCATCCTGTCCCTCTCTCCTATTTCAGGAACTGCCTAGGGACCCTAAGCAAAGCCCATGTGTCCTCACTGGCTCCTTGGGAGGCTCTTTGGCCCCTCATTCTGGATAGATTCCATGGGGATGCAGGGAATGTCTCTCTATTCCTCCTAACAAGTGGGAATCTAGGAAAAGTACAGGCCTTCTAGAGAAACAAACTTTGTCATTTATTCATTGATTCAACAAATACTTCTTTGTGTATGGAGTGTGCTGATACTGGGACTTGAACCCAGGGCTCCAAACTCTTGCTTAGCTTGTTTTTTTTTTTTTGGCTCAAGGCTGGCACTCATCACTTGAGCAGCACCTCTACTTCTGGCTTCTTGCCAGTTAATAGGAGACCAGTGTTTGATCCTCAGATCTCAACCTCATAAGTAGCCAGGATTACAGGCATGAGCTTCTGGTTCCTGGCAGCAAATACTTCTTAAGCAGCATTGTATGCCAACTCCTGTGCACTCTGTTAGGTGCTTGAAGAAACAAACCTGGCTCTTGTCCTCATAGAAGTTAGACTCTAGGGGAAAATAGAGGCAATGAATAAGTAATGAATAAAAGTGGGATTGTAGGGGCTGGGAAGGTGGTTCAGTGGTAGAGCGCTTGCCTTGCATGCCTGAGGCCCTGGGTTCGATTCATCAGCACCACATAAGCAAAAAGAAAAAAGCCGGAAGTGGCGCTGTGGCTCAAGTGGTAGAGCGCTAGCCTTGAGTTGAAGAGCTGAGGGACAGCGCCCAGGCCCAGAGTTCAGGCCCCACGACTGGACCCCCCCCAAAAAATAGGATTGTATATTTTGCTCTAATATGTAATGGGTTACTATTGCTCAAAAGAAAATAGGAGACAAGAGAGAAGAGACCTGATTTAAATTAAGCATATGACACTTAAGCCAAAACTTGGGTGATGGTTGGATTGGTGGAAGTATTGTAGGAGGAAAGGATAACATATGCAAAGAAAGGTGCGAGAGTAGAAAAGAATTCTACAGCCATTGGGAACTAAAGGTTTATGTGACTTGTGTAGAGGGGCATAGAGGAGTAGTGAGAGGGTGAGTTGGAGATTTCTAGGGACCAGGCCATGCAAGAGCAAGGGTATAATAAAAGAACTGGAATCTAATTATAAGTAATGAGTAGCTATTAAAAGGTTAAAGGAAGAGTGTGACATGCTCTAATTTATGTTTATAAAAGATCACTAACTGCTGAATGGAGAATGAATTTGAGGAAAGGATCAGTGGAAATGAGAAGCCCAAGGGACAATTCTCTCAATGTGAAAGGAAGGTGGTGGAGTTGGGCACTGAGGTAGCTGTTATGGCTGGGGTCTTTTTCTATTGTATTTGTAATTGGCCATTATTTACGTATGGGAATGCTAAGTTTTGTATATTGATTTTGTATCCAGCAATCTTGCTGCTCTCTCTCTTATGAGGTCTCAGGCTATCTGAAAACCATGATGGGTTTTCTATAGTCAATAATTTTTCTACAGACGTCTCTATTTTCAAGTTTATTTTTCTAGTAATAATGCATAGAGCAGCACTTCAGTCACTCGAACTTTGGTACACTTATCCAAATCCTGGTTTTATTAGGTAACTGTTTGGTACAAATGTTGGTAGGTATCATTTTGTCAGGTTAAGCAGAACAGCTTAAGGAGAATTTCTATTCCTAGTTAGGAATAGAAATTTGTTTATTTTGTGGTATTGGGAAGAGCCTTGCACTTGCTAGATGGGTGCTGTATAATTTAAGTCATGCCTCCAGCCCTTTTTGTGCATTGGTTGCTTTCCAGGGTCTCACTTTATGCCTGGGCCACCCTGTCCTAGCTGTGGTGTCTGTAGGTGTTCTTTAGTCACTGGGGAGACAGGCATGCATTACTGTGCTCACCCATTTTGCTTCCTCCATAGCCACCACACTCAGCCATTGGTAGTGAGGGAATCTTAGGAATTTTTATGCCTGGGCTCGCCTTGATCCACAATACCTCAATCTCTGCCTCCCAAGAAGTTTGAATTTCAGGCTTGAGCCACCACAGCCTGTGTGTGTGTGTGTGTGTGTGTGTGTGTGTGTGTGTGTGTGTGTGTACTTGAACTCAGGGCCTGGATGCTGTCCCTGAACTTTTTTTGTTCAAGGCTAGTGTTCCACCACTTGAGCCACATCTCCACTTCTGGCTTTTTGGTGGTTAATTGGAGATAAGAGTCTCATGGCCTTTCCTTCTCCAGTCTAGCTTGGAACCTCGATCCTCAGATTTTAGCCTCCTGAGTAGCTAGGAGTACAGGCATGAACCACTGGTCCCTGGAATGCTTTTGTTTTTTATTTTTTATTTTTTAGCAGTACTGAGGATTGGACTCAGGGCTTCACTCTTGCTAGGCAAGTGCTTTTCAGCCATGATGAGTCCCATTTGAATGCGTTTTCCTCATTGTCTATTCTTTAAGTCATGGGATAAACTCAGTTTGATCCTGTTATGTATTTATGTCAAATTTAGCTTTAACAGAACCTTAATATGTCGTAAGTAAATGTAATTTGCATTCATTTAGAAAAAAAGGCAGCTTGGATATAGAAGTAGCATCAGGACCCCAGGCTTCTCTTTTGTTGCTCTCCCATCTTTTCTTCTATCCAAGAAGCTGCTGTTAGTGTTCCTCTTGCTATATCAGCACTTTGACCAGTGGGAAGGAAGACAGAAGAAAAGGGGATACAGTCCTTTCTTTCTAAAAGACTTCCTGAAAGTTACACATAACACTGGCCCACCTCATGTCAGTTATAACACCCCTTGGAGACACCTGCAAGGGAAGTTGTGAAGTATAGTCTTTTAGGTAGAAAGCAATGTGCAGGGTATGAAGTACTCAGCCAAGAATCGGGGTTCTTTTTTTTTGGTCCAGTCGTGGGGCCTGAACTCTGGGCCTGGGCGCTGTCCCTCAGCTCTTCAGCTCAAGGCTAGCACTCTACCACTGGAGCTGCAGCGCCACTTCCGGCTTTTTTCTTTTTGCTTATGTGGTGCTGAGGAATCGAACCCAGGGCCTCGAGCATGCAAGGCAAGCGCTCTACCACTGAGCCACCTTCCCAGCCCCGGAATCGGGGTTCTTATGGCTAAAGGCAAAGACAAGGTATTTGAAGTTTTAGCTTTTTTTTCTCTTGATTTTAGAAGTTCTGGAGTTTGAAACTCAGAGCTTTCTACTTGCAGGGCATAGTGCTCTACCACTTGAGCCAGTCTTCCAGGCCTGTTTTGCGTTAGCTATTTTTCAGGTACAGTCTTGCATTTTTCGCGAGGCCTGGTACTATGATCCTCTTATATATGTCCTGCCGTATAGCTGTGATCACAGGCACAGCCAAACTCAGCTTAATGATTGAAATGGGGTCTCAAAAGCTTTTGGCAGGGCTGGGAAAGTGGCTCAGTGGTAGAGCGCTTGCCTTGCATGCTCGAGGCCCTGGGTTCGATTCCTCAGCACCACATAAGCAAAAAGAAAAAAGCCGGAAGTGGCGCTGCAGCTCCAGTGGTAGAGTGCTAGCCTTGAGCTGAAGAACTGAGGGACAGCGCCCAGGCCCAGAGTTCAGACCCACGACCAGACCAAAAAAAAAAAAAAAGCTTTTGGCCAAGCTAGCCTTCTCTGCCTTCCAAGTAATCTATATAGATTATAGGTAGGAACCATTTTACCCACCTGACCATCTAGTAGATTGTTTTGTTTTTGTTTTTGTTGTGGAGCTTGAATTCTGGGCTCCTTTGCTCAAGACTAGTGTTCTGTCACTTTGAGCCACAGCACCACTTCCAGTTTTCTGGTGGTTAATTGGAGATAAGAGTCTCACAGACTTTCCTGCCTGGCTTTGCACTGCGATCCTCCATCTCAGTCTTCTGAGTAGCTAGGGTTACAGGGATGAGCCACCAGCACCTGGCTTCCATCTAGTAGTTTTTAATCACAATTTTGTTATATTACTTGCTACATTTTAAACATTTAAGACTTTGAGATTTTTATATCTATGCTCACAAGTGATAACTGTCCTACAATTTCCTTTTCATTGTTGTTATTCAGTTCAGGTATTAAAGTTTTGCACAACTCCTAAAATGAATTGGTAGTTTTCTCTGTGTTTCTGTTCAATGGAACAATGTGTGTTATGATCTCAGGGTTGGGGAAGTTGACCATGAACCTATGTAGGCTTGAGGCCTTTGGGGATTGGAGACCTTTTTAAAGTGTGGCTTTAGTCTCTTCAGTGGTTATGACCTATTCTGGCTTTATTTATTTTTTAGTCAGCCATGGGCCTGAACTCTGGGCCTGGGAGTTGTCCCTCAGCTCTTCTGCTCAAGGCTAGTGCTCTACCACTTGAGCCACAGCACCACTTCTGGCTTTTTCTGCTTATGTTGTGCTGAGGAATCAACCCAGGGCCTCATGCATGCAAGGCAAGCACTGTACCACTGAGCCACCTTCCCAGCCCTGGCTTTATTTATTTTTGTGTCAGTTCTTGGGTTTGAACTCAAGGCATGGGCTGTGTCATTTATCTTTTATGCTTAAGCATATTGTTTACATTTGAGCCATATCTCAACTTCTGGCATTTTAGTGGTTAATTGGAGATAAGAGTCTAAGAGTCTCATTGACTTTTCTGTCTGGCTTGGTTTTGAACCAGGATTCCCAAATCTCCCTCCTGAGTAGCTAGGATAACAAGCGTGAGCCACCAGCACCCGACTTTATTTGGATGACTTACATTTTCTAAAAGTGGACCATCTTACAAAAAAAAATAGCAGTTTTCAAGTTTTTTGGCTCAAGATATTCTTTCTCATAATATTATAAATTCATATCATTGAAGCATCTCACTGTGATCATACATATGTTACACATAATTTTATAAATATTGTATATTTAGTTATCACCTTTTTTTCCTTTCTAACACCACATATTTATGCCTGACCTCTCTTTCTTTTTTGTTTTTATTTTTCTGACCTTTCTTTCTTGATCAGTATTGTACATTTTAATATTAAATATATTTTAAAGCTACGTTTTATTAGTTTACTTTTAAAATTAGCTTTTAGTTTTGGTTAACAACCATTTTTTTCCCTGCTACTTCAGTTATTTTATTTCTTCTGCTGTTTTAGTCCATTCTTCAGCCTCATGAATTAAACACTAATGGTCAGCACTTCTGCAATGTGCTTTTAAGGCTATCCCATTGCATCTAATCCTATTGCTATTAGTGTACCTCGTAAGTTTTGAGATTTAGTATCTTTAATTATTCCCTTCTAAATAGTAGTTTTCATCATAATTTGTCTATGTGTGGGTATTGTCTGTATGTGTGTGCTGGTATTGGGGCTTGCACTCAGAATCTTACACTCTTGTCTACCATTTTCCGCTCAAGGCTGATACCTCTACCACTTGAAACGTACCTTTATTTCCAGCTTTTGCTGGTAAACTGGAGATGAGTTTCTCAGATTTATCTACTTGAGCTGGCTTTGAACCTTGATCCTTAGGCTCAGCCTCTTGAGTAGCTAGGATTGTATGTATAAGCCACTTGTGTCCAACCATCATAAATTTTCTTTTTTTGCTGGTCCTGGGGCTTGAACTCAGGGTCTGGGCACTGTCCCTGAACCTCTTTGTGCACAAGGCTAATTAATGGTCTACCACTTGAGCCACAGCACCACTTCTGGCTTTTTCTGAGTAGTTTATTGGAAATGAGTCCCATGGACTTTTCTGCCCAGGCTGAATTTGAAACTCGATCCTGAGATCTCAGCCTCTTGAGAAGTTAGGATTACAGGGGTGAGCCACCAGCACCCAGTTTATAAATCCCTTTGAATTTATAAATAGTTTAAAGAAATTTTACAGGTTTTTTTCCCCAAGAGTGTACTTTTTTGGGGGAAGGAGAGGAATTGGCTTTTCATTATTGATTTCTGAATTTGCTCTGAGGAATAGATTCTGTCTGCGGGGGGTATGTTTAGGCCCTCTTCATCATTCTGTAGATAAATATGATCACACACACTTAGAAATTACAGCTTCTGGATATTCACCTTCCAAGTGCTAGGTGTGTCAAATCTATCACTCCTGAGAGGTGTGTTTAAAATGTGTCACTGTGGTTGTGCAAGTGATGTTTTACCCTGGTAACTTATTAATTTTTACTTGAGAGTGTACAATTCATAAACACACAAACATGATTGTTGTATCTGTCAATAATTTCACTCAATTATCATGAAATAATTTGTTTTTCCTATTTACTAGTTACTTTTGCCTTAATGTCTTTTTTGACTGATTTTTTTTTTGGGGGGGTGGGTGGTGGAGCCTGAACTCTGGGCCTGGGTGCTGTCCCTTAGCTCTTCAGCTCAAGGCTAGCGCTCTACCACTTGAGCCACAGCGCCACTTCCGGCTTTTTTCTTTTTGCTTATGTGGTGCTGAGGAATCAAACCCAGGGCCTCATGCATGCAAGGCAAGCTCTCTACCACTGAGCCACCTTCCCAGCCCATGGCTTCACATTCTTACTTATTAGCTTTTTCCACTTAAGGCTGATGCTCCACCACTTGAGTCACACTCTACTTCAGGCTTTTTGCTAGTTCATTGAAGAATCTCTTAGATTTATTTGCTTAGGCTGGCTTTGATCTATGATACTCAGATATCAGCCTCTTGGACAGCTAGGATTACAGGTGTGAGTCACTGATATCTGGCTGTGGACAGGGTTTTGAGCAAGGGGACTGCCTTGGAAGACCTCAGTTTTAGGAAGACTACATTAATCTTGCATAGACTGGGGAGGAAGACTGGGGCCTCAGATTTCAAAATTTGCAAGATGTAATTTTAGAGGATATGCCTTAGCAACCACACAGGGTCATTGCTGTAATATTATATGTAGATATATTTATAAATGATACATCTGTACATCTGTGTGTATGTCTGTGTTTATATATCACACACAATCATATGTATCATATACTATATTTTAAACATACCTTCTTACATATTAGATGGCCTAGATGATTTTCCTAAGGCACGTAGTGGCAGAGCCAGCATTGGAACTCAGGTCTGCCTCCTGGTCCAGTGTTCTTCCTCTGTACTATTGAGTGGATCTGAAGGGAGACTAGACCAGTAGTCAAGGCAAATATTGATGCCAGTCTAGACTGGAGCAGACACCAAGGTGAAGACCATGTGGGAGGCACTGTTCTCTCTCTTCCTTTCTCTCCGGGTGGGGGTGGGGACCTAGGGCTGGTTAGAAACTGCACATGAGTGCCTCTCTCTTTCCTGGGTCCTGCAGCATCCTTCTGGGCCTGGTTTCTATGGTAACAGGCTCCCAGCAGGCAGCCCGCCAGCTGTAGGAAAGCAGGCAGGCAGGCAGGCAAGGAGAGGAGGCCTGGGAAGCATGAGTAAGGCTGAAGTCAAGGGGGTTGGGAGAGACTCCTGGGAGGTTGGGCAGGCCCCTGGAGCTGGCCCTGCAAAGACCCTCTCTCTTCTGACCATATGGAAGTGAAGGTAGCTTAGGACCCAGCGGGCTTTCCAGCCCTGGAACTTCTGTTTATCTTCTGCCCTTCATATCTGCTGACCTCTGCTTTTTACGGGGGTGGGGATGGGGTGGGGGAGAGGCCTGGGAGGGGCGGGCACTGACTTCCTAACAGAAAAAGAGTCCCTAAACTTAAAAGGGAGAACAAAAATATGAACAAGGCCAATTGACTTTCTGTTTTGCATAGGATTTGCATATTATTAATTCAAAGACAAGACTTTTCCAGGCCTTGTGTCATTCCTGCCAACAACTTAATTCAGCTCCACTGGCTCTGGCATAGTATGTCTGGCTAGGCTCTGGGCTGAGCCATCAGGGACCCCAGGGGAGCATCCTTCCAGAGGCAGGCCCATTCTACCCCAGCCACTCCCAGACATTGTTTCTGATGTCCTAGCCGTTGATGCCATGTGGAGTGCTTGGAACCCAGCACCTCTGGGCGCAAATCCTGGTTCTGCTACTTGATGGCTGGGTGATGGTGATCCCCGTGGGCCTTCCTTACATCTCTAAAGCTGAGGACACACTGAACCTTCCATGCTAACCAGTTCAGACTGTAGGTTGTTAGGGTACTGAAATACTTGTGTATTCTTTGGTAGCTTGCCACCCATCTTCCTCTCTGAGGCCCTCCTTAAGCCTTCTGGTCCATCCTACAGGGATTACTTTCTGTGCTTTGGATAGGGTTCTACCCTGACTGGGGTAGGCCAGCACCCATTCTAGCCTTAAGTACTTAATGGTTGTTATGTATTTTGACTGACACTTTCACTAAAGTTCATGCAATGACAGGTATATAAGGTATGCATTGGTTGGGAGGAATGATCAATTTGAAGGACGTGGATTCATGGCCATTGCTTTGTAGGGAGCCAGCCTCCCTCACACCCTTCCTGTTTGCCTGGGATGGGACTGAGGGCTGAGATGAGGCTACAGCAAGATGCAGAGCGGACAGGCATCTGTCTCCACAGGCGGGCGAGGTTCAAGCGCTCCAACAGTGTGACAGCTGGTGTGCAAGCAGACCTGGAGCTGGAGGGCCTGGCTGGTTTGGCCACGGTGGCCACAGAAGACAAAGGCCTGCAGTTTGGACGCTCCTTCCAGAGGCACGCCTCTGAGCCCCAGCCCGGACCCCGGGCCCCCACCTACTCAGTCTTCCGCACGGTCCACACGCAGGGCCAGTGGGCCTACCGTGAGGGCTACCCACTGCCGTATGAGCCGCCGGCCACAGATGGGTCACCTGGCCCTGCCCCGGCCCCTGCCCCTGGCCCTGGGTCTGGCAGGCGTGATTCCTGGATGGAGCGTGGTTCACGTAGCCTCCCTGACTCAGGCCGCACATCTCCCTGCCCACGGGATGGCGAGTGGTTCATCAAGATGCTGCGGGCAGAGGTGGAGAAGCTGGAGCACTGGTGCCAGCAGATGGAGCGTGAGGCGGAGGACTATGAGCTGCCCGAGGAGAGTGAGTCTGTGCCAGCCCCTCTCAGGGCACGCAGTCTGGGGTGCAGCCTAGGGGAGGTTTACTTCCTCAGCATAGAGTTTGAGGGTCTCCACTGCATAAGACTCGCCAGAAACTGGTAGAAGGGATGTTCCTCAGGAGCAGGAAGAGGCCAGGGCTAGGACTGGTGGTGCTGGGCAGGTAACAAGCTACTAGTCCAAGTCACCTAGTCTGTGGGAGAAAAAAGGAGGCTCTCCAGTTCTAGACTGGTGGGTGATTCAGTCTTATCCATCTGTGTATAATGGAGGTTTGCCCAAGAAGATACAGCCCTGTCATGAATGGGGACTTAGCCCTTCTCCATAAGCCAGGATGAGGTTGGTCACAGGCTTATGACAAAAACTCCAAAAGGCAATTGTCACATTCATGAAGTTACCTCATAGTTCTTAATGAGCTCAGTAGGCATGTCTGATAAGTGACAAAGTTCAGTCCTGAGATGGCTGATCTAGTGCCCTGGCCAAGGAGGCAGGGCTAGGCCTTGAACTTGGAAGGCTACAGGAGGGAGAGGACTCAGTAGACAGTGTGAAGGAAAGCACATTAGGTGAAGTCCTCTTCCTGAGGTGAGATAGGAGTTTGCTTGTCAAGACTTAAAGATGGGGAGGGGAAGAGGGTGGGAGAGACAGATCCATGGCTAGATGACAGAGCCATGCAGGGGAAGGAGAGGCCTTTTCCCCTCCTTGACTGAGTTCCTCTGGTTCCACAGTCCTGGAGAAGATCCGCAGTGCCGTGGGCAGCACACAACTTCTGCTGTCTCAGAAGGTCCAGCAATTCTTCCGGCTGTGTCAGCAAAGCATGGTGAGTGTCATAGAGCTGCCAGATGTGGGACCCTGGTAGGTGACCTAGAGTGTGACTGGGTAGTGAAACAGCCTGTGCATCTTCAGTGGGTATTCTTGACCCTGTCCCCCCATCAGGCTCCTGATAGCAAAATTGGACAGGACTTTCTATGGTCCTGGGTGAGCTCGGTCCTCCAAGACTGTTTTCTCTCCCACTGCAACAGGACCCTACTGCGTTCCCCGTGCCCACCTTCCAGGACCTGGCGGGTTTCTGGGACCTCCTGCAGCTCTCCATTGAGGATGTGACCCTCAAGTTCCTGGAGCTACAGCAACTCAAGGCCAACAGCTGGAAACTCCTGGAGCCCAAGGTGTGTGTGTGTGTTGGGGATGATCCCTTCTGGCTGAGGGACCACTGTCTGGAAAATCCCCCTCACGGGAACTGGTATGGAGGGGGAAGACATAGGGAGAGAAACCCATGCACAGAGAGGATCCCCTGGACACATGATGGGTGACCATCCACTTCCAGAATGACCGCATGCCTCGTCTTCTTGTCTTCAGGGCTTGTCCCTGAGTAGCTGGGATAAATCAACCAGACCCTAGCCACAGAGGAGAGGGCTAGGTCTTGAGCATGCCGACAGCCCTCAGCCTACTAGGCCATGTCCACGATGGGACTCAGAGGTGTAGTGGATGAATGCCCTTTTGCTGTACCTGGGCTATGGAAGGAACTGTGCCCCTTTTCTTCTGGGGGTGCGCTTAAAGCCCCTTCCCCTTTCCCCACTCTCATTCTGATGGTGCTGTCTGAGGTCTCCACTAGGGGGCCCTCCACTCCATCGTGCTTTACTTGGGGGGGGGGGGAGACAGTGGGGTGTTGACCTTGTCAGTCCAAGTTCACCAGGGCTCCAGGCTGCAGGATCCACTGGCGATTCTTAGTGCTGTGGCATCCCTCTGGGAACTGGGCCATGGGCATGTCGGCGTGAGATTGCGCGGATAGCCGAGTGGTCCTGGTCCCCGCGTGTGACGGGGTGGCCTCAGAGGCTCAGCCGTCCTCGGCCTCACCCGATGTCCCCCCCTCCACCCCCGCTTCCCCGACAGGAGGAGAAGAAGGTCCCTCCGCCGATACCAAAGAAGCCCTCGCGGGGCCGGGGCGTGCCGGTGAAGGAGCGCTCCCTGGACTCCGTGGACCGGCAGCGGCAGGAAGCGCGCAAGCGGCTCCTGGCGGCCAAGCGCGCCGCCTCCTTCCGCCACAGCTCGGCCACCGAGAGCGCGGACAGCATCGAGATCTACATCCCCGAGGCCCAGACCAGGCTGTGACCCGCCAGGCCCGCCCGGCCCGCCCGGCCCGGCCCGGGCCCGCGGTTTTCTACCCGTACTGTACACCCAGCGTCGAGGTCACTGTGAACGCGG